ACATTATCATCCCCGACCGTCAGCTATTGTACAAAGGTACAAATGTTTCCGTCAACTGGGTCAGTCTATCTCTGAATATGTGGCAAGAACTACGTCGTTTAGCTGAACACTGTGATTATGGGGCAGAATTAGAGAAAATGTTGAGAGGCAGAATAGTTTGTGGTGTTGCAAATGATGCAATTCAGAAGAGACTTTTGTCTGAAGCAAAACTAGACTATAAACGTGCTTTGGAAATTGCTCAGGGTATGGAAATGGCAGCTAGAAACATTGTTGACATTCAGAATCCTACTGGAAAGAAACACACATTTTCTGCTGACATTAACTTTGTAAAGAAGAAACAGTATTCAAAACCAAAAGACAGCTACAGTAGTCACCAAAAGTTAAATAGAAATGACAGACCTCAGCCTTCATACGATAAGGGGAAAAGACGCAAGTGTTACAGATGTGGGGACGACTCACATAACCCAGATCAGTGCAAATATGTCGATGTTGAGTGCAGCTTCTGTCATATCAAGGGACACATCAAACGTGCTTGTTTTAAACGTAAACGTTCACAACGCCACCAAGCAAATCTTTTGGAAAATGTTGATCAGTCAGACATAAGTGACACAGAAGAAGAATATGAACTTTTCACCATAACTGAATCAACAACTGAACCTATCATGATTACAGTGGTCATGAACGGTCAGCCTGTAACGATGCAGTTTGACACCGGCGCAAGTATCTCCATTATGAGTCTGAATACATTCAAGAACATATGGAAGTCAGGACATGCTCCTCCTCTCAAAGAGAGTTCACTGCTTCTACGGGGATATACAGGAAACATTGTCGACCTGATTGGATGTGCAGAGGTTAACATCACCTTTCAGAACCAAACAGCTACATCACAAATCGTTGTAGCGAAAGAAGAGAGACCAAGTCTGTTCGGAAGAAATTGGATACGATTGTTCAACGTGACGCACTTCGATGAACTGAACACTTTATCATCTCCTCAGAACATTGATGATGTACTCCAGAAATATTCTCACATCTTCGAAGAACAAGGTGAAATCAAGGGCATAGTTGGAAAAATCTACATTCCACCTGATGCGAAGCCAGTGTTCCTGAAAGCACGACCACTTCCTTACGCCATGAAGGAAAAGGTGGATGAAGAACTTGACAGATTCCTTGAAGAAGGGATAAAAGAGCCAGTACAACACTCTGATTGGGCAACTCCCATAGTCCCTGTCGTCAAGTCCGACAAAACAGTTCGACTCTGCGGAGACTACAAGGTTACAGTGAATCAAGCGTGCAAGCCAGATCCCTACCCAATCCCAAGGATTGAAGATCTGTATGCCAAGCTTTCAGGAGGAGAATCATTCACGAAGACAGACCTCCGTGGCGCCTTCCTTCAACTTCCTCTAGATGAAAAGTCGAAGGGCTACACGACAATCAACACACATAGAGGGTTATTCAGAGGCATTTAGTAACTGGATAGAGCAATAAACTATAACACATACTTATGGAAGAACAATTACTGATTTATTTTAAGTATGTGTTATAGTTTAGGGTTATTCAGGTTCAACAGATTGTCGTTCGGGATTTCATCCTCACCCGGGATATTCCAACGTTGTATCGACAATCTCTTACAGAACATTCCAATGACGGGTGGTTATCAGGACGATATTATCATCTCTGGACAGAATGATACCAAACACATGGAAAACCTCAACACTGTGCTGGAGACACTTTCGACAGCACGTGTTCGAATCAAGAGAGAGAAATGTGAGTTCAAGTCACCAGACGTCGTGTACTTGGGACACCGAATCAATGCCGAGGGTCTACACCCAGTGTCAGAGAAAGTAGAAGCCATCGTGAACGCACCAGCTCCTACCAACGTGACTGAACTCAAGTCATTCCTTGGTTGGCCTCTTGGACTACTACGGAAAGTTCCTGCAAAACCTCTCTACCGTCCTAGCTCCTCTACACTACCTTCTAAAGAAAGACACCAAGTGGCATTGGGGTGCCAAACAGAATGGCGCATTCACAGAAGCAAAGAGACTACTTCACTCAGCACAAATTCTAGTCCACTTCGACAGTGAAAAAGAAGTAGTTCTGGCAACTGATGCATCGCAATACGGACTGGGTGCAGTCCTCTCTCACAAGATGCCAGACGGGTCCCAGCGTCCCATATCATTTGCGTCCAGAACACTAAACCAGGCAGAGAAAGGGTACTCGCAGATCGAAAAGGAGGGACTCTCCCTCATATTTGGAATTAAACGATTCCACCAGTACCTCTATGGAAGACACTTCTTGATCTCGAACGATCACAAGCCACTCCAATGCCTATTTGGAGAAAGGAAAGGCATGTCAGCTATGTCTTCTCCACGCATCCAGAGATGGGCTATAACCCTGTCTGCCTACAGCTACTCTTTTGTCTACAAACCAGGGAAAGACCTTGGACATGCAGATGCCATGAGTAGGTTGCCACTGGATACCACACCTCCTGCTGTACCCACTCCTCCAGAAACGCTGTTTCTACTGGAATTCTTGGACTCAACACTAGTGACCGCAACAGACATAAAAACATGGACAAACTACGATCCACTACTGTCACAGGTGAGACAATTCATCAACAGCGGATGGCCGTCATCAGTAAGCGATGAGTCCCTGAAACCATTTTACTCAAGACGAAATGAACTGAGTTCACACGGCGGTGTGATACTGTGGGGACCACGTGTAGTTGTGCCGGAACAGGGCCGCGCACAAATACTGGAACTGTTACACGAAGGACATCCAGGCATGGTGAAGATGAAAATTTTCTCACGCCACTATGTATGGTGGCCAGGCATGGACCAGGAAATCGAAGGGAAGGCGACACATGTCAGGTGAATGGGAAAGCCACTCCTCCAGTGAACATTCATCCATGGGAGTACCCCAGTGGTCCATGGCAACGAGTGCACATTGATTATGCCGGTCCTCTGATGGAAAAATGTATCTCGTCATAGTGGATGCATATTCCAAGTGGATTGACGTACACGTGACAACCTCCGCTACATCTGAAACTGCAAGAAAGCTTCTCCATCTTTGGACTCCCAAAGACTGTAGTATCAGACAATGGTACATGCTTTGCCAGTGCGGAATTCCAAAAGTTTATGTGCAAAAATGGGATTGAACACATATTCACTCCTCCCTACCACCCTGGATCTAACGGTCTAGCAGAAAGATCTGTACAGACCCTGAAAGAAGGAATCAAGTAAATGGAAGGCGGTACAGTAGAATCGAAGGTAACCCGATTCCTGTTCAGGTACCGCACTCTCCAGCTGAGATGATGATGGGCAGAAGGATGAGAACCAGTCTCGACTTAGTCCATCCCGACGAGGCTAGAAAAGTCGCACGACAACAGGGCAAGCAAATGGCCTACAAAGATGCTCATGCACACGCCAAGACATTCCAAGTTGGTGATCAAGTCTATGTCACTAACTTTGGAAGTGGTCAAAGATGGATTCCGGGAACTGTACTGAAAATAGCCAGTTCTATCTGTGACATCCATCTTGATGATGAACGTAAAGTACGACGTCACATGGACCACATGAAACAACGCCTCGAAGTGCCAGAGCACAAACTGACTGTGATTCCAGAGACAGTAACCCCAGTACTGCAGAACAACACACAGTCTCCTCCGACCAACTTGCAGACACCTCAGGACGACGTGCAAACAACTCGAGATGACGTGCAAACAACTCGTGATGACACCCTGACGAAGAGTGTGCAGTCACCAAACCAACCAGAGACACTGCGGCGCTCGAGCCGAGCGACCCGAGTTCCTGTGCGCCTTAATCTATAATTTGTCAGAACATTTATCTGAAAGTTCATATTTCATGGACTCTTAAAGTTTTGAAGTTTTAAAAGTTCTAGTTACAGTTAAGAAAGTGTTCATCCAAACAAGAGACTCTAAATGTGTTGGATCATAAACTTTAATTTTGTAATTTTCACGTAAAAGTTACATCTTTTATTTCATCTTAAATTTCATATCTTAAAAGGGGAGAAATGTAATGTATTGAGATAACGTTGTACGTCAGGGTAACCTGATAGCTAAATTAAAGCTCCCTCCAGCGGAAGTAATTGAACGCTCCCTCACTGCGCATGCATATAGATCTACATGGCGAGCATGTGCAATGATTTTAAAATGTCATTCTGAGAATAACACGATTTGGTACGTGCAGATACGTTCGGATACGGTTCGATACGACCACCACGATTGCTACGATTGACCTCAATATATGATAAGAGCCGATAGGATCACAACGTTTACTCCACAATTAAAACCACAATTTCAATCGTAGCGTGAATCGTTATAGTAGGAACCTAGCATTATCCAACATAAAGAAACTAATGGCGTGGAATGAATCTTACCACGGCACTTTGGTCATTTTGAGACTAACATACGGTTTTTTCAGCGTGTAATACGACTGGGAAAATACCTACATATTCATCTGATCATATTTGAATTCCAACCACGATGGGTTCCTTTACGTGTAAGTCCAATGGAACACTGGTGGGGCTCTATTTTACGTCCATTATGAAAGACTGCATAACACTATCTTTCCCGCAGGCGCAACCCTCACAAGTGAAAACCTTGCTTAAAAATCGCGTAGGTTCTTCCCCGTCCATTACATCTTGATCCAACGACATTTCTTGATAGTGTGCGTTTATTAATGAGCATAATGTTCTTGGTCGCGTCAGATCAACCTACAAATCAAAACCCGTAATTCAGAAAATTCCGCGAAATCTTATGAAAGGCTTTGATTATTGGGACACGAGATGGGCTGTCGTCATTGGCCTTGAATGCGCTTGTCTTATACATGTCTTTTTATATTGATGGTGTGACCATGCAAATAAATTATATTGCCTTTGGTAGTGTCGTTCACGGGTTAGGGTTTGCTTACTTTATCTAGACTACCTGAAGCCGTTTCTCTATTTTATCACATAGAAAACACAATGTTGTTATGCATACTTACTTGATGTTGGCGCATTGGGATCAAAGATCCACCACATTTGGGCAATGAAAAATGGCGCCCAACAAACTAGGTAACAGATGACGACTATTAAAGTAACTTTGACGGTCTTAACTTTTGACTTGGACATGGCTTTACTGTGGCCCCTCGGATTAACGCTGCTTTTTTTAAGTAACCCTTCATCGTTCTGAGTCACGGAATTGGCGTCATTATTTTTGAACGATATCCGCCATAACGGCCCTTTCTTGCTCTGAGTTCGCCTGGTGGTCGAGGCGGTAAGGTCAAGGTTATTTTTGGATCGAGCACTAGACCATACCACGTGACAGATTCGTCCGTAACACACCGATAGAACTATGAATGGAACTGCATAGATGGAGATAAACACCCACGTGACGTAAACTTGGTACATCCAGTTCTCAGTCATTACCGAATGATCTGAACAATCCCATGATCCATTTTGTGTTGGAATGTAACGAAATATATAGATCTGTGGACTGGAGAACAGTAATGAGACTATCCATGCTCCAAGCACCATTAAATGTCCTCGATTGGGACTCATGGTCTGACTGGTAAGCGGATGACAAATGCTGACGTAACGATCTACGGCTGTCATAATTAGTACGTAGGACGAAGCGTACATAGCGACAACTTGAAAATATTTCACAGAGCGACACAGAAAATCGTTGCCTTGAAAAACAATCGTTATATCCTGAATCAAGTTCGTCATGGTATTAAATATAGCCACAAAAATGTCAGTTAAACTCAGGTGCACAATAAACCATTGCATTCTACTCAACTTCTGCTTACGTAGTTTGAGTACAATTAACACAAACAAATTGCCAAATAAGGCTAAGTACAAAATCACAGACTGGACGGCTATTTTTATTGTCCTGATTTCTTGATCAATAAGCATAGGCGGACTTTCTGTTGAGTTAAGAAAATCACTATCGTTTCCAAACGTCACGTTTGCGGTTGTCATTTCTGTTACTTGTGATGTCTTAGTAGCCATCCTTAAATTTCTTGTTTTAAAAGAGTTCCTCTGATCGGTTTATTCCTGATCTGTGAGCCTCAATACCTGGAATGGAACAAAAAGAAACTCATGTAAGCAACTTCTTTCTTATAAAATTATTAAGTTGATCATTGGTCACAAGTGGTGTAATGGACAGAGGGGTCTAACGCGTATCTGTGAATCATAAGGTCTGTCATCTATGCAAGTCATGCGTCCCATCCTGTGTTTGTAGGGTTGCTTGCCTAACCTCGTGGGTATTCTCCGGTTTTCCCGACTTTTAAAGGCATCTTCCCGCTAACAAATATATCGATATTAGTCCCCAAATTATCTGGTTAGTGTCGAGTGGTCAAATAGAAACCACTGGAATTGAGAGATTATTATATCGCCCTTGCCTTACAATACTTTAATTTGACCAAAACATAGGTTCTTTACATTTGTGACAAAGGTTTAAAAACTTCTTTGTTGTTTTCATAACAGAGACCACCATTTCTTAACCGAGGGCCTAAATAATACGTAAGCACTGATTGAGATTAATATTCAAACTACCGAGAACAAATATATATATATACACACCCACGCACACAAGATATATCAAGCCACGTCCATTTAAAAAACAAACAAAAAAAGAACAGCATGTGCCAGTAGGCAATGACTTGACGAACGTTCTAGTATAAGAATGGTGACGTCAATAAGAGTCGATATTATTCAAATGACCAAATTGTAATTGGAGATTTAAATTATGCTGGTTGTATCTATAATTTTGTGAGTGGAACAGGTGGTCTAATTATTCTCGAGAGAATAATGTTCCCATAATTCAGTCAGATAATGCTCATCGTTTCCTAATATATCAGTTTGTTTGGTGAGTGCAGAGGGTTGAGAGACGTTACGCTTAATTTTATTCCAGTTTATTTCCGAATACATCAAATTAGAAGTAACTTTGTTTGAAATCATTTGGCGATACATTTATCAGATTCTCTAACCAATATAGAAAACTAGCTCACGTATTGATTTGATCTTTGAAGCCTAGACTATTTTAATTCGCTAATCTCAGCCTTAAAAATGTCTTAAACGGAGTTTAATACTGTCTGACCAAGTGAAGTGTCTGAGGAATTGTAAATCCCCAGGTCATAAGTCTTATATTAATTATCCAAGGACTCTTTTCCACCATTGCATTATAAAAAAGTAGCCAGATAGGTATGTTAATATTTGAACATAACATTGTACACTGCATAACCTTCGGCGTCTGAAATCCAGTTCACCTATAAGTAGAGCTCAGAGTAGGGTATGTTCACTCTCTCTAGGAAACCACTTCTCGTTGTAATTAAACCACCGAGTTGATCACTCTACCCCCGAGGATATCTTCTAAACAGGAACCTGAATCTTTCGAGTTTTTGCTTAATTTTATGGCAAGTGGGACTAAACTATATACGTCACAATTTTATGTAAATCAAAGGATTATCCTGAGTATTAAACATACACGATGTCGCCTAGTGTAACTGGTCGTAAAAATTTCAACAAATGTTTTAATTTTTAAATTACATCATTTCTTAGCGTTTTCCGAAATTCTATCCGTAATATTGCCTAAAGACCGGTCGCTTTTTGCCTCTTTCTTGTAAATCATTATTTTGTTTTTCATTTGAACACTTACGACTAGCTTTGTATGTCACGGTTAGAGATTATATTGTGAATATATTATCTGTCTATGTGTATGTCATAGTTAGACGTCATATTGTGAATATGTTATCTGACTATTTGTATGTCATGGTTAGATGTTATATCGTGAATTTATTATCTGTCTATTTGTATGTCACGGTTAGAGGTTATATTGTGAATAGGTTGTTTGTATGTCACGGCTAGAGGTTATGTGGTGAATATATTATCTGTCTATTTGTATGTCACGGTTAGAGGTTATATTGTGAATAGTTTGTTTGTATGTCACTGCTAGAGGTTATATGGTGAATATGTTGTCGGTCTATTTGTATGTCACGGTTAGAGGTTATATTGTGAATAGTTTGTTTGTATGTCACGACCAGAGGTTATATGGTGAATATATTATCTGTCTATTTGTATGTCACGGTTTGAGGATATATTGTGAATAGGTTGTTTGTATGTCACGGCTAGAGGTTATGTGGTGAATATGTTGTCGGTCTATTTGTATGTCACGGTTAGAGGTTACATGGTGAATATGTTATCGACCTAGGTTAGAGGTTATATGGTGAATAGGTTGTCGGCTAGAGGTTAATCATTTTTCTCTTTTGGTCCACTTGATAGCATTTTTCCTGCAGGCATTACTTCCGACAGAAATCCACATTTCACCCCATAGCTATGGACCACAAAATAATTATATTGGACATTCTGTATTTAACCACTCTGAAACGCAAACTCATGTTAAAATCAGTAACCAGCAATCATCCGCTATTACGATTATACAATAAATCGTGAATATTGCTCAATTCATGTCTCTAACAGCGATTTTTATCAACAGTCCTCAGTGAGATAGGCTTAAAGGGATTATCTCTTGAGAAACAAAGAACACTGATCAGTTTTTGAAAATGCAGCTCTTACTGTTTTTCCTGGTAAGCCATTCTGTGAGTACCAGCTTTACACAAATTGGCTACATGGTCACGTTAATATTTAGCAATGCAAATGAAATACGGTAAAAACGAACGTGTCATATCTTTGATCGTTTAACTATTTACTTTACGCTTTTGCACATGAATACCGAAATGCACCGAGGACATTGTCATTCCTTTCAGCGCTGTTGGACCATTACTCTATATAATTCCCAGAAAGATATATCTTCGGTTTTCAAAATATTAGAGAAAACATTCATCCGTAATCCGGTTCTAACATACGTAAAACGTATACAAACGAACAGGAATAAGTATACCTACTTAACGAAGCAATGGTTGAACCCGGACTTCGTTTCTGGTAGTAACACTCTTTTTAACGGTTACACAAAGCAAGCCATAATCTAATACAAATAGTCAGAATTTAATCATAGCTATACCGTAAAAATATGTAGCTTATATAATATATTGACGAAGATGTAAGAGGGTACTAACTAAAGATAGTTTGATCCAACATTCACCATTACTTACAGGGGCATGGGATTATCTAGATTGAGATGATACACGATACGTGGTAATCCAGGATCAAGGTTTTAAAAATCCCCATGGGTGAACATTATTAAACGCCTTTTGAACAACCTTATGTTATAGGCTATTTTGTAATAAAGCTAGGTATAGTTTTGATGTAATACATTGTATTTCATTCCTATCGTGTTGTCCCTTTAAAGGTTGCATTTTACCAAGCCTGTTGGCCATTCGATTGTTGTAGGCAATACAATGCCATTAACAACAGACACGCACCAAAAATAGGTATAAAATAATCAATAAGTCAATTAAATAATTCAGTCTCACTTCCTGGTACATTGTGGAACCAACTGAACAAAAACTGATGAGGTCTGATGTAAACGTATACCATATTGTTGACTCTGATTGTATTTGGCACTTGTGAATTAAGGGAGAACGAAAGGAGAATTTCCGTAATTACAGTTCTATTTGGATCCTAATATGCTATATACTTGACAGAAACTCCATTTACTTTTCCTAGTCGTTGTTTCTAATTATCAAGAAAATTTTTTTTTTTTTCAGTTATACAACAAAAAATAATCAGCTTTGTGCACTCCTAAAGTCACACTTAACGTCCAATATATTATAACATGATATTATGGACGGGTTGATTTGATTAAGATTATTTACATACGAAAGAGGCATAAAAAAGTAAAGACATGAAAAAAGTTCCTGTATGTAAAAATGTCACTTTAAAACACTGTCGAGAGAAGAGTGGTTGGGTGATCTTGTTCCCTCGTCATACTTTTCTGCCCAGTACAAATTATATGTTTTTACTGATTATATGTTTTATTGTCCATACAGGTTATATGTTATATGTTATAGTGTTATAATGTCCATACATATTATAATGTTATACTGTCCAGAAAGTCTACACGTTTTAATGTCCATACATATTATGTTATAGTGTCCATATAGATTATATGTTATTTCGGATGACTGAGGCCCCCTAGTCCTTCAGTTAAAATGTTCAGGTATAATTAGTTTATTTTTTATCGAATTGTCTATAAAATAACTATTCAAAAGAATTATATATAACGTAAAATGATTTAGATTGGTCCCAAATAATCAGTACATTATAGGCTATGACGTAATAGATAAATGAGATCTTTATGTCCTTAATTGCATTAAAGATCCAAGAATCACGAAACGACATCGATCTAAAATACATGGCGTTATGCATTAAAAGCACGTCTTTGTTTTCATTGTGAAAACAAAACAACCAGTGAAAGACAAATGACATGACTCTGCCCATCAGTTCACTAATCATGTAGTCGTGACGAGATAAATAACAATCATGTTAACTTACCAATCATTTCATCCTAGATTACTGGAATTACAAAAATTGAAGTCAAATTCATTTTTTATTCGGTAAATCAAATAACACGGGTAAAAGCAATGTATTTTGTTTGTACATGTATTTCGGATAACTATATCCTCGCGACCTTCATTTATCAAAGTCGAAATTCGTAAAAAAAAAGGAGAAAAGGGAGAACAAATTAAACAGCCTGTGTAGAGGGGTGGTATGGTGCAATGTATATGATTTGACACGCATTAAAGTTGCTTATTCAAATAAATAATCAATCTTAGGATATATAAGTTCATAGTCAAATATATGGGGAGATAACTAGCTACTGATTCTGTTGGCGACGGGCGTTATTCGGTTAAATCATTGTTATTCATTTTAGTTTTATATTAATACTAGCAGTATACCCGGTATCACCCGTGGCCCAAATTCCCCCGTGACCCAAAATTCGTGAACTATAATCGGTCAATTTATAAAATACGTACCCCTTTTCTAGGGTAAACCTCGGAAAGACACGGTATAAGAAGAATTCCACTTTGCACAACTTGCGAAAGAACATTTGGATAAACTTCTCCGATTGAAGATCCCGTCATGTTCTTGTGAGGAAAGAAAGTTGTATGTCGAAT